AGGTGAGGCCCAAGGTGTGGTACACAAAGTAAGGAAGGGAATGCCTTTCTTGCTTGAGGCCCTCAACCCTTAGGCATGTATAAAGCTTGTAACAGAAGGGGTAGATGCAGGCCCCTGACATGTGGAAGGCATTTAAGTGCTTGCATAAAGGACAGGAGGGGGGAAGAGAGAGAGTGAAACATCAAATATGAAACAGAACCCTGGAAGAGCTGCTGTGGGTTGCCAAAGTGAGGGGCTACCTAGAGATTTGACCAGGCATTGGTGTCCAGCCTCTGGAGAAGGCTGACTACTGGGATCTCCACTAGAGAGTGTCTCTCTGATCAGCTGCATCAGGAAATACTTCAGTGCCTCAGCCCCTCTCTTCTCTTTCTGGTATTTTAATCTTCATTAGTTTAGATGGCTACTCAGTTACCCAAATTCTGTGTCCAGAGCTTGGGACAGGAAATTTCAGGGGCAGCAGGCTGCATGCATTGCAACAGGAAGAGAGTAAAACCAAGTACTTCCAACAAGCCTCATCACTGTCTTCTGACTGCTGTCCCATCCACTTTGCAACTTGCCTCCAAATTCTGCTATCGCTGCTACCAGGTAGAGTTTCTGCTAATCACGCAGTTATAACTAGCACTTCACAGCAACAGTTTATCCTCCTCTTTGGGGGTTCAGGTAGCCCATAGTCATCTTCCAGTAAGTGAATCAGAGTTCTGCGTTTTTGCAGTGTATTCCTTACTCATCCTTTTGTACAAGTTTGATGACTCCTCCTTCCTCTGAGGTCCACATGTAGTAGGACATCCCCAAATACAGTTGTAACAGTGCTGCTGTTCTCTGCCTCACCTAGGCAAAGAGGCCGTGGAATAGACGGATGTGCTAAAAATAACAAACACCAATAACAAACACCAGCAAGACAGATGCAGTTTGCGTACCTACACTTGTTACAGCAGAGAAACTAGTTATTGTTAGTTAAATTCTAAGATTATGTTCAGTTAGTTACAAAAAAAGTCAAAGTCTGAAAGAAATGTTGTCTTCTGACAATTGAAAATTGCATTGCTACCTTTTTATTTTTTTTTAATTAGCAGAGGAGGAGGGCAGGCAAGGTAGAAGGGTTTAGATTCATTGCCAAGTTCCCCCGTTTGCCAACAGGATAGCAATAACAGTGTTACAACTTGTGTTTTGCACAAGGTATATCTCAGGTTCTAATAAATATACAATGGCTTATCCCCTGAATCAGTAAAAGAAACAGGCAAGCACTAACTACAAGTAATTTTGTTCCATTTAATTCTCTTCCAAAAATGTATCCCAAAGTTCAGGAGCTTATCTTGCTAACATGAAACTTGTCAACTCCCCTTTTAACTGACTCCAGCCCTATAGCTTTGAAGCTTGCTAGGGCTGTGGGGCGTAGAGCTGAGCAGATTTCTCATGAAATCTTATGTATGGCGGGGGGGCAGCGTGCAATGATTGTGGTCTCACTGTAGCTTTTTGCAACCATTTCCAATGTCACAGTGACCTGCAGTTATTTGAAAAGGAAGTTTCCGGCTGCAAGTATCTTTAATTTGCAACTCTTACCCGCTCACTGAAAGAAGCCGTCTGGGAGTGGTATGCATCCCTATTAAAGTTGTGTGAACGCTTTGTTATATTTTTAAATACTCGGTTTACATGACACTTCTGATCTTGTGATGATTACATAGGAACTCTGGTTAGGTTTGCTTTTCACAGCTAATGAGTGCTACTAAAACAATTTTTATACTTAAGCAATGGGATGCGTAGAGTGGAACTAGCGATGAGTCAGCAGTTAGCTAAGGTTATTTGAATAGCAATATAAACCATGCCTGCCGCAAGGAAACAGTCCACAAAGGTCATACCAAGTGCCTAGTATTTAGACACTACCACCCTGGTGATAGGAATTCTCTTAAGACTCTCACGTTTTTTAGACCAAGCATCATTCTATTTGACATTTGGATGTTGTCGCATTAAATATCCACTACTTGGTACCTGGATGCCAGGGAAGAATGCTTGACGTTCTTGGTACTATTCACAGTGAGGCATGCCTGCCAGATTGACAGATGCTGCTCTCTCCTCATCTAGGGGAGTTAGGCACTAAAATTAGTAACTATTAAAACAAGCGTACTGAGTAAGGATCTGCTGAATTTCATCAACGAGAAATACTGAAGGGAAGGAGTCACCACTGCTCTTTCCACAGGAGTTAGGGCTGTAATTCACGAGTAGGGACAGCACAGCTTACAAAATGACTGCCCCCGGTACAGAGAGAGCCCAGTTGCTCAAGGATAATCAGGTGCTGAGCCACAGCAGCTTACAGCGCACAACGTTAAAGCAGAGTGAGGGCAGTGACAACCTTTACAAGTTATTACCTACACTGACGGGGAGCATGTGTGGGGGGTGTTAGGCCAGATACAGGATGTGCGAGACAGTTCCCTGGTGAGGCACTGCTTCTCACAAACAGCCCTGGAGAGGAAACAGTTTATAAGCTAAAACTCATTTAGGGTTCAGCTCTGTTGCCTCCGCAACCACAGGAAACAAGCATACCAGCCCCACGCGTGAATCATTGCTTTTGGGAAGTTCACCTTGAAGAGCAGGAAAATCTTTCTTCAGGTAGAATTGATCTCTTTAATCCCTTCTGCTGGGATCATTGCCTAAGCACCTTCATTTGCCAAAAAGAAAAAAGCACAATAAGAAACACAGCTGCTTGTGATGGTTCCACCCTCCCTTGTTCAATTGTTCAGTGGTTTAACATTCAGCCCGAATGTTGCAGACCTACTTTTAATTCTCTCTTCTAGCTGAGAGGATTCAAGGCCACATTGTCCCAGCCCTCCACTCAAGTGACCTAGCTACAAAACAACTGAATTAATAAAAAAAAGATAAAGAAAAAAAAACGGAGAGACATCCCACCATAAACGCCCTCATGTTCTGCTGACCCACTTCAGTAAGAACACTTGGAGATTCTGCGTGGCTCTTACTGACGCTGATTTTGCCAGGACTGAGAACTGCAGTTACTCTATAAAACCAGTGTTACTGGTTGCAGACAGACACAGACTTTAAGGCACCTTCTGCATCAGAGGTGAGCGGGGGTTTAAAATTTCTTTGCAAGAGAAATCCCAGGCCTCTGAATTACCCACCAAAAGTCCGCTTTTATCAGTCTCCCTGACATGTTTGTATCAGAGCATTAGATGCCATTAAACTTGAGAGGGTAAAACAAAAGGTTCTCCCAAAGGCAAGGCTAAGAACATTAGTGAATTACAGTTCATCATCACAAGACCAAACGGCTTATAGGCGTTGCTATACAGCAACATAGCCCTGGCCCATAAGCAAGAACCAGCGTCTAACAATTGGCATTTATTGCTATAGATAAATACCAGCTGCCGCACTCCGAGCCTCAACAGTTTAGTTTATATCACAGGTTTTAGTCTTTCATATGTACGCAAAGTTATGCAAACATGTGAATTTGAATTTGGGGTGGTTTTTCAAAGCTAATCTTACAAAACAACAAGAGCGCTTACTGAGATACCAAGAAATGAAACGTGGGAGCAGGGAGTCTGGTTTGCGTTACAAGGCAGGCCTTAAGTCCTTTTGAAACCCAATCTTTTTCAAACATACACCACATGTGTGTTTGCACATACATGACTGTAACAGCGGCTTGCAGATACCTCTTTTTACTCTCTTCTGTAATGAATGAATTTGATTAAAGAGCCACAATTCAGTGCACACGAAAGCTGCAATTTGAAAAATCCCGACAGCGTTAGTCCTTGTTGTGGTAGGAGCGGAGCTTCTGTGGGAACCGACCGTATTTTCCCCTGTGTGCTGCACCAGATGAGCTCTGCGGGGCTCAAAAAAAACAACAAAAAAAAGCCGTGTTGCGAGCCATTTGCCCTTCAGCGAAGTGAGTGCTAGGAGCTGTAATGCCACCTACTGATGGCTCTGGATACTGGCCTCAAGTTCCCAGCCCGCTCCCTTCAATTAAAGGAAAGCCAGGCGGCCGCTGCAGGCGTGCCTGCGGTGCGGAGGGGAGGAGGGAGGCTGGCCTCAGCTGGTGGGCTGGCGAGGACCTGGCCGACTTCGCCTCCTTCAGACACGGCGAAATCGGTTTCGCTGATAGATCACAAGAGTTCTTCTTCGAGTTTTTATCTCTGCCCCCTCTAACTGTAAATATTTTCAGCAAAAAAAGCAGCAACTGAGAGAAAACTTATTTTTGAAGCGTTTGGATGTCTTCTTCTGTCTTCTCCGACAGCGTTTTGAACCCTTTTCCCCCTCTCTGTTTTTCAGCACCTTCCATACTCTTCTCCCAGGCCTACTGTTGGCATCCTGTGATCCTTTATATGTTCGCACAGTTCCCGTTCTTTCGCAAAGCTAACTGGGACTGAAGTAGAGCAGAAGCTTCAGAGCTTTTTCTTACAGGTACCAGTGAACGATTTTTATGGCGTTGTCCTTCTCAAAAGACGACAGTCCCGGTAGGTTATTCATGAAAGAACAGTGTATTTCTAAAACAAATAACCACTGTCCTCTAATGAAATTTATTAAAAGTTCAGTTTGCAATAGCAGCCTACCAAGAAACAGCAAAACGCTCCCAGCCAAATGACATTTGTTAATTTTGCAACCTAAATTCTGAAGGGATAACTGTAATTCCTAGAAGTGACAGAAGCAGCTCTGATCACCCTTTCTCTCAAGACCAAAAAACCAGAACCACAAGTATTCAGATTATGGCAAAGTTGCTTCAGAGTACTGTAGCAAATCTGCTATGCATTCCATACCACAAGAGCTAGAGGATATAATTATGAGAAACGGAACAAAAAGGACTGCCTCCTTCTCACACACCCAAAGCACCACTCTCAGCAGAAGCTCTTAAAAATATACTGTATATTGTTCCATTTGGAAAGCAAGAATAACATTTTCAGATAGAAGACAAGGACAGAGGCAGCACACCTTCCTTCTTCATCCAGACCCATTCTCACTGTGCTTTGAAAAAAGATGGGAAGAGAAAAGAAAGAAAAAAATAAATGGTTGCAATGAAATGTAATGAATTCCATATTGTCAGTCCTGCAGATCTGGTAAGAGGCATCATTCAAGCATTCTACTCACACGTGGTACCTCTTTTTTAAGAAAACACTAGGATTTACCATGCAAGTTTTTAAAAAGCAGTATTAAGTAGTACTCAAGTGTCAAGAAATGAAGGCGCTAAGGTGGTAAAATACCCCCTCAATTACATCCATGAGATTTAAAATGTTTAATGTGCAAGTCTTGGACAGAAATCATTAATTTACAATGTACTAACATTTGAAGGATGGGAATTTCTTCATTGTATATGCTCACAGTAGTAAGTGAAGTACTCAGTCGCTGAAGTACAAACATCAGTATGCTTAAGTGACTTATGCTTCATTTTTAAGGCAAAAATAGGTAACAATACGACTGCATACAGTTGCAAAAATATTTAGAGATATGATTAAACAGTCCACTTCTAGCATGAAAATTTCAATGATGTACTTAATATAGCAGTGTTTTATTTGAAAAGTTACCATTAAAAATGTAAAACTAATCTAGCTAGGATGAGTGGCACTGACATTTTTACCTGGGCCTCCACACTCAGGGATCTTTGTCCCTAAACCTCTATCACTGTAAGCTGTCCTCTCTCCCTGCCCATTTCCACTCTTATTACAAAGGTGCAGGTGTGTCTGAGCAGCCCCAGAGTCCACAGAGGAAAAAGCTGGAATGCTAAAAGTGTATGCAAAAAGGTCCCAACAAGAAAAAAAGAAAAAACAGATCCTGAGAAATAAAATTAATGGGGGGACAAAAAAAAAAAAAAAAGCAGCTATCTGCAGGTATCCAGGGATTTGCTCAGTCATCCTTGTCTTTTGCTCCGTGTTTCAGGATGCGCGTGAATTCAATGTAGTTGAAATTCCCCTTTTTGTCGATGGGTGCCTCTCTGTACAGCTCATCTACCTCTTCGTCTGTGAACCTGTCTCCCATTGTCGTCAGCAGCTCTCGCAGGTAGTCTTCCTGAATGAACCCTAGAATGAGTCGTACAGAGAGAAACACAAAAGGGAAGCTGTTTCTTAGCCCAGCCTTGCAAAGCAGTAAGACAGACATACCAACAGACGTGCGATTAACTAATACAGCACATAATATATGCATTTGCACCAAGAGCCCAAAATACTTTCTTAATTGAATTCTAAAGAAATTCCTTGAATGCAAAGGGGAAGGTGGGGAAGTTTGATGCATTTCATACAGATTTTTGAAAAGCGGCCTGGTCTGCTGTGATCTAATAACACCTATTTCCATCTACTGATCTTCAACAGCTTAAAGTGGAAAAACAAGTTTCTGTCACTGCTAGTCTTCATTACACAAGCTGTCTCTTAATTGAATTATATTTTTCTTGACTTTAATTAGATATATTTGCACATCCTCTATAAACTAGTTTCCTCTGGGGACTAAATAACCACTGGTTGGCTCTTCACTGCTGCACAATACTGTTGCTGGAGGGGGTTTACATGGATACAGTGAACTGCTGGCAAGCGTCCAGGGAAAAAGTTTATAACAGAAAAGACTTTCAGACAGGATTGAGCAAGTTAACTCAGGAGGGAGGAAGAATGTCTACTGTGGAGAGGTAGGGGTGGAGAAGCTAGTCAAAAAAAGGTAGGATATATTAAGTTATTTATTTTATGCTAAAATATTAGCAGAAGATTTTGGAGAAAATTAACAAAGATATAAAAATGAGCAGTTGCTAAGTATGTTCTGTTAATTCAATTTCAATAGATGGGCAGAAGCACCAGTTGCCAAATAATTCCAGGAAAGTTTAGAGATGAAAAAAGGAATGCGCGTAACAAATGGTAGACAGAAGAATGCAGAAACTGCTTAATGTTGAAATAAGACCTACCATGCCTTTAAATGCACAACAGTTGCTTCATTTGAGAAAGAAATGAGTTGGAGAAATATCAATAACGGAACAGAGGAGGTAGAAGTATGTTAAAAAAAAAAAGATATGTAAACTGTGCAGACCAGCTGGAAATCATATGTAGACACCCACATCAACTGATGTAGATTCAATTAGAATGTGATTAAAAAAAAAAAAGTTCTGCTTTGGAAAGAGAGTTGAATAACTTAAGCAAACAGAGTTCATTAGAGAGACAAAACCAAACAGGGAATCAGGGGACCAAAAGGCAGTCAATGAGCATGACAAATTATCATGCTGCAGGGAAGGGAAAAAAACCCGTGTTTCAACATATGCTAATTAAAACAGCATCATATCCCAGTGTAGACAAGTTCTTGACTATCGACTCCAAACGAAGAAGGCTAACAGCAATATTCTACTTTAAAAACGGGGAGAATGTTCAGTTACCCAGGCCCATCTTAATCGGGTCAAATTTTGGAGTTGTCTCTTTGCAGATGTGTGTGGGGATGGGAATCTCACTAACGGACATTCCTGAGTTTGATTTTAATGAGCGAACACTGTACCACCTGGCATGACAAGGCACCTAAGCAGAAAACAACGGAGAAAGGAATGTGCAGCTGGAAGGAGAAAAACAAGATAAAGACCATGAAGGCATTTCGCATGATCAGAAAGAACGGGCCAATCTGCTAGAGCATAGATGCGCGTGAACACAAGGCTGTAACCTATCTGCAAGCTGCAGGTAGCGCGTGTCCATAGTAGATAACTATATAAGCCTTGTTATAAGCATGAATAGAGGAGAATGACCATACTCATATTGAGATCCATCATTACTCCGGATTCGCACTCCCGCTCTGCCGTCGACACCGGACAAGGTAAACTCCAACAGATGTGCGTAAAGAAGGGGAAAAACCAGCTAAACAGATTAGGCTCTCTGTTTCTGCAGTCCTACAGAGACCAAGTAGTGATGAGAGATGACATAAGGATTAGTATTCAAAGAATGCAAGGCCTTCGGTGCTGCAAGTTTAGCCTCAAGGACTTAATTGCTTCTGTCTGAACAGCTAGGTGTTTAAACACTGAACTAGGTTGCCAGACTAGGAATACACTAAAAGTTTTAGCAGCACCGAATTGTAAAGCAAACAGTACTCCCGCTCTCCCTTGCACACAGCTTCAATGTAGATGGGGAGTAACAAATTCATGAAGCAAAATTTAAGATTCAGCCTGTGGCAGACAGCACAAAACAGACGACAATGCAGGATCAAAGAGCAGACAAAAGATACACCAAATGCAGCCAGGCATCACTTTTATACTAATTTCATAGTACTACATACGATAGTAATGCTGAAGCAATATACCCAACTAGATTGGCAATATAGGAAATGTAACTAAAAACCAACAAGTACAACTAGCTTATCCTCATCAAGAGGATCTGATTTGTATTATTCTCTTTCAAAAGAACTACACCGATGTAGGGCTAGAAGATCAGGACTGTAACACACACGCATGTGGAGATTATGAAGTGGAGAAAAAAAAAAAAAGAAAAAGGTTTGATATAGCTGGAAATGCTTTTGTTCATTTTTAGAAGGAACAAACTAATCAGAAGCCAAATCTGAGAAAAAATGAATAAAAGGCAAACATAACATGGGTTCTACAAATACATCATACGTTATTTTGAAGACTGCATTTTGACTATTATGAATCAAAAATCAATAAAACAGCATAACTATCTAACACGTTTCCTGGTTAAAATTTGAGGATGGCGTAAGACACAAAAAAGACTGTGGAACCATTATCCTCAATCATCCTAGGACTAGACTAAAACATTTACCACACAGAGCTGAAAGATAATAAAATCAATCTTATCAGTACATGGGGGCCTGAACTAGTAACTTATTGTTTACATAGACATAGAAGGTTACTGTTCAAAAGAACTGGTAGCACAATCGTTTTCTTTATACTGTAATTCACAGGCTCTTGTTTTGGAGCACACGAAAAAAACCTGTAGCACAGTGAGTCAGACTACCTGTGGAGAGAAAATAATTAACCTACTAACAAAACTTCCTTCTCTAGGAGATGGTAAAGAGATTTCCCTTGAGAGGGAGGAAGTCAATTAACATTTGAAAAGGCCTTACCAACAGAAAGCCTGTTTACCTACACCTCAGCAGGAAGGGGATGCTCTTTGAAAAGGCAAAAGGTGCTAAAAATACACAGACTGAAAATAGCTGTTTGAAATGGAATAATATCCTTTGAAAGGTTCAGAGCACATATCCACAGGTTAGACTGAAATATTGTGGTGGACAGTTGTGAGGAAAGTTACAGGTGCAGTGACATCTCTAGTACAGAGGCTACATAATTTCAGCACGCACTAGTAAGACGTGTTCACAACACGTCAAAGCGCTGATATTCTGTAATTCCGCAGAATTGCCCTAAGGATTCATCCCTGGTTGCTACACACTTCTCTGGAATCTTAGCCTACGTGAATAAATAAATAAAAGCATAAACTCTAACCTCAAGATTACAGGCGCAACCTTGAAAGACTGATACAGTAAAACTGAGCTCTGCATTTTCCTCTTTCCCCCCATCTTGCTATGCAAGTCAGCCCAATCTGTCATTTCTGCGTTATAGACCCCACCTGGTTTTTATCTTTAGATCATTAAGGCTACAGCCCTTCCTGCAACCTGAAAGCAAACCGAGCTGCGGGTTGAGGGCATGACACATGGCATTTGTCATCAGAGCTGTAACATAGCTACGCAAGATGACGGTTCAAAAGAGTTTATGTAGTCTGGACAGCCTGTCTTGAAATACTAAAAACATCGAAGAATTCAGATGCATCTCATCTACTGCAGAGGGAGGACAAACTCAGTTGTATTACAGATTTCACATCCGTCACCTTTTCAACGCCATAGAAAATCACATACTACCAATTTGAATTCCTCATCTTCTTAGAGCAAATGCATCTTATTTTGCACTTATAGGAACATACACGCTGCCCAGTTAAAACACTCTTCTCCAAAGCCTCACAGAAGAACATTACTACTAGTCCTCAGTACTCACACAGAGCAGCCAGACAGTTTTTACTCTCACTCAGTAATAAGTCAAATTCTCATTACTTGGTAGCATATGCCATCTAGAAGGATTACTGTGTCATACTTGATGTATAAAGGTGCAAAAATCAGCGTACTATTTAGAAGCCCAAATAAACAACATAAAAGTATCCCCCCCACCACCAAGCGGCTGACTTTCACCCACATACCTGTTGCTTCTTCATCAAAGCAAGCAAAAGCATTCCTGATTACGTCTTCCGGATCGGTGCCATTTAGCTTCTCACCAAACATTGTGAGGAACATAGTGAAGTTTATGGGGCCTGGAGCCTCATTCATCATGGCATCTAGGTATTCATCCGTTGGATTCTTTCCTACAAATAAAGGGATTCATATTTGCTTTAGCTTTCAAACTAAAAGAAAAAGTGATCTGAACAACGTAATACAAACTGAGACACCTCTCATAAGCTATCCCAAACTCAATATTTTAATTTTAACAGCACAAATTTGCTTGGCAACCGTAAACAGAAAAGTGACATTACCAAGGGAGGCGAGCATATCGTGCAAGTCCTCTTTGTCAATGAAGCCATCCCTGTTCTGGTCGATCATGTTGAAGGCCTCCTTGAATTCTTGAATCTGCGACTGATCAAACATTGCAAATACATTGGAAGTGGCACGCTGAGGGCGCTTCTTGGTGGTCTTCGTCTTTGCCTTTTTGCTAGACATGTTGATTTTCGGACACTAGGGAGAGAAGTAAATAAGGTAAATACAGCAAGATCAGAGTTAGGACTTTAACATTAAACCTTAGTACAGTTTTTTTTTTTAAGTTCACAGATAGAAAACACCTCTAACACACTTGCATTTCCTCTCATCAAAACATATTTCCCTAATCAAGAAGGGAAAAAGAGAAGCAGAAAATACGAACAAATGAAAGACAGACTCCTAAATTAAAAAAAGTCACTAAAAGAAGACGTAAGTTAAACTTGAATTTTAGTCTTCAAAGGGACAGCTTTTGTCTGGGATCCCTTCTTGATACATGCACCTGCAAGCAGGGAACTCGGACTAGTCTCAAGTCTAAAAGAGCAAAGTGAGGTTTTGAGAGCTGTCGTTAAGCCTGTGAAAGAGCTCTGTATGGATATGGATAAGTTCTGCCTGACCTCCATTTACGTTTATGCATTTAATTTTACCTGAAATATACTACAGGTCTGCCATACCTGAAAACTGACTTCTGCTGCCTACTCCTTTAAGCAAAAAGGGAAAGCAACCAACTCACACTGCTTTTGCTCGTCTCCCTAGAAAAACTGCTCAGAAAAAGGTGTCTTCACCTGTAACGCTCAGGCTAACTGAGCTTGGGTCTGAACAATGCAGCGCAATGGCCACACTTTGGTCCATTTCATCGCTACCACTGTCATTTAATTTACCTGTTGCTAAGCTGGCTAAGGTTTCCATCATGCAGTGCTGCGGAGCAAGCTTTAAGATTTTATAAAATGAACCGAGGGAGACTGCATTTGTCCTTTAGGGTAGGTGGGAGGGATGGATGGGGGAAACCTACACACAGCCCCTTTCAGCTCTAACCACAGAGGGCTGCGACCTGAAAACAACCTGGCAGCCCCGGAGGAAGGCTGATCTCTCTTCAAAAGCGGCATCCCGCCCTCGGCTTCAAGGGCGCAGAGAGTCGAAGAGCTCTTACCCTCCCGGGAGACTGCATTTGTCCTTTAGGGTAGGTGGGAGGGATGGATGGGGGAAACCTACACACAGCCCCTTTCAGCTCTAACCACAGAGGGCTGCGACCTGAAAACAACCTGGCAGCCCCGGAGGAAGGCTGATCTCTCTTCAAAAGCGGCATCCCGCCCTCGGCTTCAAGGGCGCAGAGAGTCGAAGAGCTCTTACCCTCCCCATGAAGAGACGCCACCGGCGATGGC